AATGTAGGTTAGGTTAGGTCAGGTCAGGTTAGGTTAGGTTAGGTCAGGTCAGATTAGGTTAGGTTAGGTTAGGTTAGGTTAGGTTAGGTCAGGTCAGGTTAGGTTAGGTTAGGTTAGGTCAGGTTAGGTTAGGTCAGGTTAGGTTAGGTTAGGTTAGGTTAGGTTAGGTCAGATTAGGTTAGGCTAGGTTAGGTTAGGTCAGATTAGGTTAGGCTAGGTTAGGTCAGGTTAGGTTAGGTTAGGTTAGGTCAGATTAGGTTAGGCTAGGTTAGGTCAGGTTAGGTCAGGTTAGGTTAGGTTAGGTTAGGTTAGGTCAGATTAGGTTAGGCTAGGTTAGGTTAGGTTAGGTTAGGTCAGGTTAGGTCAGGTTAGGCTAGGTTAGGTCAGGTTAGGTTTGGTTTGGTTAGGTTAGGTTAGGCTAGGTTAGGTTAGGTCAGATTAGGTTAGGTTAGGTTAGGTCAGATTAGGTTAGGTTAGGTTAGGTTAGGTCAGGCTAGGTTAGGTTAGGTCAGATTAGTTTAGGTTAGGTTAGGTCAGATTAGGTTAGGTTAGGTTAGGTCAGATTAGGTTAGGTTAGGTTAGGTCAGGCTAGGTTAGGTTAGGTCAGATTAGGTTAGGTTAGGTTAGGTTAGGTCAGATTAGGTTAGGTTAGGTTAGGTCAGGCTAGGTTAGGTCAGGTTAGGTTAGGTCAGGCTAGGTCAGGTCAGACTAGGTCAGGTCAGGTTAGGTCAGGTCAGACTAGGTCAGGTCAGGTTAGGTCAGGTCAGGGTAGGTTAGGTGTTTAGGTTCTATTGGCGATTATTTGTATTTGTAGTACGAGGGTGAAGCATTTACAGCGTTGTGGTTCGAACACAAGTCGTCAGTGAAGCACTTGTTCTGGAAGTGTTCGAACGTCATCAGTTGTGAGTCGTGTGTAAACCGTTTTTCCAATTAATAAACAGCGGGTTTGGCGGCTGCATTAACGAACCTTTGGCCTTTGTTGACGAGGACGAACCTACGTCCTCAACACGACCAAGGGACCTGGGGTTCAGTAGGACACGTTTCCTTTTCCCCTGATGCATCTGTTCCCCTAGCCGTAAAATAGGTACTCGATAATTAGGCAATTGTTGTGAGGTTGGGGGAGGAAGGGGAGTAGTAGGGGAGGGGGGGTCGATAAGCCTAAGTACAGGCTTCCTGTCACCGACTTGGAGGATTGTATTACCGTGAACTGTCTTAGCTACTGGTTCGACACCCACTAGTGGCCAGTTTCCACCTGTGTCTCCTTGTTCGTGTTCCACCCGTGCTAAACACTTTGTACATCCTGGCCGTTCCTCTGATAATTTTGTAGGTGGTGATCATGTCTCCCCTAACGGTTCTGCCTTCCAGGGACGTGAGGTTTAATTCACATAGCCTTTCCATGTAACTCATGCCTCTTGGCTCTGGAGCTAGTCTGGTGGCATATCTCTGAATCTTCTCTAACTTTGTGTTTTGTTTAACTAGGTATGGACTCCAGGCTGGAGCTGCATACGCCAGGATTGGTCTGACATAAGTGGTATACAAGGTCCTGAATGATTCCTTACACAAGTTTCTAAAGGCGGGTCTTATGTTGGCCGATCTAGCATATGCCGCTGATGATATTCTTTTGTTGTGAGATTGTTCTGTGAGTGTGAGAGTGTTGTGAGTGTGAGGGAGTGTTGTGTGTGGGAATGAGAAGTGTGAGGCAGTGTGAGGGGGGGGGAGTGACAGACACGGTTGGGGATGCATGAAGGTAACCTCTCTCTCTCGCACACAAATGTCTCTCGTTTGTAAGCGATGAGTCACAATAACGTGGCTAAAGTATGTTGACCAGACCAGACACTAGAAGGTGAAGGGACGACGACGTTTCGGTCCGTCCTGGACCATTCTCAAGTCGATTGTCAATCGACTTGAGAATGGTCCAGGACGGACCGAAACGTCGTCGTCCCTTCACCTCATGGCCTGCATGTGAACTATTTAATGTGCATTCGTGGCTGTAACCAGCCATAAACACAACAAACCTACGACGTTGCTTCAACGTTGGAACTAGATATAACCCCTAACAAGTTGTAACAATGATCAAATACGTCATAAAAACGTGATAATAAGATGTAAAACAACTTTATTACAAGTTGTAACAAGCGAAAAATAGGGACAGTAACGTTGTGTAATTTACGTTACTTTTTAATTGGAAATTAGACTCTACGATCTTTATAATCAAGATGGACTCAGGTGTCATACTTTGACAGTTATTTATATATTTATGTTCTTCAAAATATTAAAAATATATGATATTTTACTGTTGTAGCGATTTGGCAATGTTTGCTTTGTTGCATGCAATATAACAGGCAAGGAGCTGAAAGCTGTTTTTTCTGTGTTTCAGGCCCCAGGCGAGAGTCGCATCCCGACGGTGCGACGGTCGGCCCTACCCCGGCCCACCTCGGTCACACCGACCCATCTCCAGCTGGGACCCTTACATTACAAACCTGGCCCTGATGCGCTTGCCCTAGTCCAGACCTCACCTGCCTTTGACACCTCCAGGGACATTATAACCAGCCCCACACACCTTCAGGGAAGCACCTTCCATCACCCGCAGGCCCCAGCGCCGCGGGTCAGAATATCGTCGGCTAAAGTCGCTCGTTTGGGTGAGAGCGAGCTGCCGGGGTCAACCCAGAGCCACTGTACACAGCGGTCAAGCTCCAGTGGCAGCCGCCTCAACTTCCAATTCACCTCTGGTGACATTTGGCCTGATGAAAAGCGCTTATGGAACAGAGACTGCCACGAGAGCGGCTTCAGAGGGCTGAAAGCGTCGACAGAATCTGCCTTTTCCAGACAATTGGCTAAGGTCACACGAGGCTCCAACGAAGACGTGAGTGAATCTTGTATTACCTACCGTGTGTCCAGTATACGTGGTCCTCGATCTTGCTGGGACGGTCCCATTCACTCCTTATCGGCGTGTGAACCTACAGCAACTCATCTGACCAAGGAGTGTGTCGGCAGACGAGTCGTCGTAGGTGGCGCCGAACATGGAACTCTTCGCTACTTTGGCAGGACAGCCTTCGCTACAGGCGAATGGTGCGGGGTAGAGCTGGAGCGGGCAGTGGGGAAGAATGACGGCTCCGTAGACAGTGTTATCTATTTTTCCTGTCGGCCTGGCTATGGTATCTTCGCACCTGCCGGTAAGGTTTTCTTAGACCTCGATTATATTGGAGATGATGATGCTTTATCCATAAACGTGCGGAACAGCAGTCAAAGTTCGATCTGGCAAGGCTTAATGCCGTCCTCAACCCATTCTCAGGAAACAAACCCAACAAGGCGCCGGCCATCTGACGCCTCGAATGCCACCTTTACCATCGAAGGACGTGACTCTTCTCTTCCAACTTCCCCTGAGAGTCAAGAATCTTTGCAGACTCGAGAGTTTACACAGGCTAAGAAACCTTCAGGCCATGATGACCAAGAAGACGACGTCGCCAGTCTGGGCTCTCCTGAAGACGCCACTTGCGACGAGTCTTCCCTAGGCATCTTGACTCCGGACCAGATGCCAGATTTCACCGTGACGGCATCAGCATCCTTTGGTAGATCACCATCAGACGAAGACGTGGCAGCCCTGGAAGACGAGGTTTGCGACACGTCCCTCCCTGCAGAGGCATCGGGACGGGGAGAGGCTTCTTCACGGACTACTCTGCTTCGTTGGGATTCCGACCCCAATGTGACAGGAGTCGAAGAGATATTCAAGAACGATGTGTCCGCCATCATTAGAGAACTTCGCACGTCTGCGGAAGTCAGTTCTTCCAGCGGTAGCTCTCCTACTCGACCACATCCCTCACCAGAAACAGAACAGTTCCAGCACGATGAAGAAGAACTTGAACAACAACAGAAAAAAGAAGATGAAGAAGAGGAGAAGAAAGCATCTCTTAAAAAATACAGAGAGCTTGAAATTCTTGAGGAAGAACAATGTCAGACGATCTCAGAGTTAAGGGAAGTGCCAGTGAGTGTTGATCTAACGCGGCTGCCATCAGTGACCCGGCGCACAGTACCGTTGACAACGAGGCTGCTCCTGGCAACAACTGTTCCTGGCGAAGTTACTCCTGATACTGAGGCTTCGTGGGGCGGCGCTGCTGCAGCTATGACCACCAGTGCCGGCAGTCTAGACCAAGGATACCAGGGAGATGCAGAGTGTGATCCACGTTCGGAAGGTGGCACTGGTACTGCCTCATCACCTACAGAAGACGTTCGACTCTTCCAGGGAGTCATCGATGTGGAGCGACTTACAGAAGCGGATGTTAGTTTGGCTGATGATGACGGCGATGCGGACCACCATGGAAATGTAACAGCGAGGGACAGAACAGCCCGGATCATAGATGGCAAGTTGTACCACAACCACAGAGAGTTAGGTCGTGCACATGACACCACCACCTCAGAAATGGACTCATCCGGGTTTTACTCTGATCTCGACCCACGAGACCGTGATGCCGAGGACGAGAGTGCTAGAACGGACCTTGAGCCAGTCCAAGAGGCTCTGGGTAATTCTAACCTTCATGACTCGCTACTCGATGACCAGAACCATGCTTATGATGACAGCACTCACCACGACCACACATTCGATGACCACTCCCTCAAGGATGATTTAATTGAGGAAAAGGAAGGAAGTTTCACTATAGACGAGGAAGATCGAAGCTCTGCCAGCACTTTGCGGCCTGAATCGAAAGACTTGACATTAAGCGACCAACAAGACCACACGCAGTCATCCTGTGAGATCAAGCAGAACTCTCCATCCCCGGCAAACAACTCTTCTTCATCGTGTGATTCAAGAGTTTCTTCAGTAACCAGGAACAGGGATGGAACGTCTGCACCTACCATTGACCCCAGGCTGACAGACTCAGGGATATCAGTGGAAGGTGGCGAGGACGGCATTAAGGCTCAGCCGGCCCCGAAGCCTCGTTCTTACGAAAAGCCGTGGCTGTCTCGCCCGCTGCCACCGAAAAAGAAGGAAGAACCCCGCAAGTCCCTTCCTCCTCCACCACCGATGCCCAAGAAGAATGTTCAGTCCAAGCTAAAGGCCCTTCTCGAGGCCCAGGAGCAGACAAGTGAGGAGACCAGGAGGCCTCGCCAGCCTCGCAAGAACCGCTGGGACGAGGTCATGAACAAAATCGCCGAGGGCCAGAAGGAAGATAAAGTGAGAACTAAGGTGAAGGAGGTGAAGAGCCGTCTGATGGAGGGGGTCATGACGCAGGCTCAGCTCTCACCACAAGCCGAACGTATCCGGCAGGAGAGGCGAGAACGGCGGGAACGGCGCGAGCGACAAGCAGCGAGTGCTGGTGTGGCTGCCAGGCGGGCCAGCCAAGCCAGAGGGGACAGGAAGAGAAGGTGAGTTCGAAGCTATTGTTGATTTGTCTTCTGGTACTTACCGATCATCGAACTGCTTATATAAGTACTTAATGTTAGGCCAGAGTCATGATTTCTTGCATAGGGTTATCTTGAGATGATTTCGGGGCTTTTAGGTGTCCCCGCGGCCCGGTCTTCGACCAGGCCTCCACCCCCCAGGAAGCAGCCCGTGACAGCTGCCTAACACGCAGGTACCTATTTTACTGCTAGGTAACAGGGGCATAGGGTGAAAGAAACTCTGCCCATTATTTCTCGCCGGCGCCTGGGATCGAACCCGGGACCACAGGATCACAAGTCCAGTGTGCTGTCCGCTCCTCCGACCGGCTCCCTAAAGGTGCTCAAATCAAATCAAAAAAATCAAATGTTTATTTAGGTAAGGTACATACATACAAGAGATTTTACAAAGAGTGATGGATTTATAGATAGGGCTAGTACATACAATGCCTAAAGCCACTATTACGCAAAGCGTTTCGGGCATGAAGAGATTCATACTGTCCATTACACCAGCACTGTAACAACTTGCTTCGCTCATCCACTTTGACTAGTACGTACAGCAACAGCCTCGCTTCTTAAAGGTCGACAAATGTTTGTAGCGTATTGAGTTATTAAAACTACTTTGTGTGTGTATGTACACTTCCGAAACTCGCAAATTAAATAAGAACCAAATATAGGAATAAATAAAAGTCAAATATAAGAACCGCCTTTAAACATGAGTGTAAGTAATCATTCAGAACTTTGTATATCACATACGTCAGACCGATGCTGGAGTATGCGGCTCCAGTGTGGAACCTATATGTAGTTAGTCACGAGACGAAGTTAGTGAATGTTCACAGGTATATGCCACCAGAATAGTCCCGGAACTGAAAGGCACGAGTTATGAGGATAGGCTACAGGAATTAAACTTCACGTCGCTGGAAGACAGAAGTAGTAAAGTAGACAGGATTACAAAATTTACAAAATTTAAAAATTACAAAAATTCATATATATATATATGCTTATATATTATATATATGTTTACAAAATTCCCATGGAAATTTATACAATTAAGACAGGTTATTTAGCATGGGTAGTACTCGCATATATGGACGCGTACTTGGGTACTGAGTACCCAAATGAGTCGGGGGGGGGGAACTCGATTCAGTTTTATATACATATACATCAATACATACAGATGTACTGTTCCTGAAAAAAAATGAATTACAGTATGTGAGAGGCCGGTTCTAAATATACTAGAGTTTGCGCTGCAAAAGTTACATTTTCTTTCATCGTCACGAGTTGGTGTCATAGAAAACTGAAACGTTTTCTTAAAATTTTATAGGAAACTAAATTGTATCGAAAATAATAATTAATAATAATGATGAGAAGGATGAAAATAAGAATATTTATACATAAGAATATACATTTGTTACATCTATACATGGTACGACCATTCTTCAATATCCTTAACCGCATAAAATCATTCCTGAATTCTATCAATTTGTTTTAAAAGGCCGCGAATTACGTAATGTTTCAGGCATAGTTCATGCCTTAAAATGCCTTTACAAGTGAATATGCCCTAAAATGCCTTAACAAGTGAACATGCCTTAAAATGCCTTAACAAGTGAACATGCCCTAAAATGCCTTAACAAGAGAGCATGCCTTAAATGCCTTAAAATTCCTTAACAGGAGAACATGCCTTAAAATGCATACATATCGTACGGTCACGTGATAATGGCATCAAAATGTTCACTGACAACAAGGGATATACACCCAGAAGTGTGTATCATTATACATTGATCTATAATGATGTGTATATCATTATACACTTTGTAAATGTATATCATTATACACTTTGTAAATGTATATCATTATACCCAGTTGCTAATGTATAAATGTATATCATTATACACTTTGTAAATGTGTATCATTATACACTTTGTAAATGTATATCATTATACACTTTGTAAATGTATATCATTATACACTTTGTAAATGTATATCATTATACACTTTGTAAATGTATATCATTATACACTTTGTAAATGTATATCATTATACACTTTGTAAATGTATATCATTATACACATTTGCTACTAAATGTGTTTACAAATAAGACAAATTAAGGAGATAAAAATTCTTTACAGTCTCAATTAAAAAAATAATGTTGCTGTATTTTGCAATTTGATATTTTTCTGTATTAGTGTATTGTATATGCTTTTGAAATATGCTATTTTATCTTGTTCTTTTAATAGTTTTTGTTGTATTTTTCTGTAGTAGGATATTTTATTTCTTCTGTAATATTTAAAAAATATATTTCTTCGATATTTTGACTACATTTTTAATTTTTTTTTTTCATGTCTACATTTAATCATTTATTTTTCGAGTCTTAATCTCATTCATTCATTCATTCATTCTTCAGTTTTTTTTAACTCTCTAAATTATATACTTTTTAATTCATTCATTTATTTTTAAAAACCTATCCTTCATTCTTCAATATTCTCTCTCTCTCTCTCTCTCTCTCTCTCTCTCTCTCTCTCTCTCTCTCTCTCTCTCTCTCTCTCTCTCTCTCTCTCTCTCTCTCTCTCTCTCTCATATATATATATATATTCTTTAATAATCTCATTTTCAAACATTTTTTATGAATATTATTAGTCATTCAGTCTTCAAAATCATCATTCTTATATATATTCGGGTTGAAAATTCACACTATTATATTCTTGACTGAGTATCCATTTTTGTTTAAGTCATTCTTAAATAGCCACTCTTAAATACATTCATTCTTAACTGTTTTTTTCGCATATACGATAATTTCTTAATATCTAATCCTCATACAATCATTCTTAAACATCCTTATTCTCATGCACTCTATCTTGAATATCTTCACGCATTCTTGTACTAAATCTGGAATATACTCATTCTTATGGAGTCATTCATGAATAGAGCCTTATTTATGCATTCATTCTTGAAAATTCTCACTCATACAATTAGTCTTAAATATTCTCACTCTTATAGAATTATTGATATTTAAAGATGTACAGATTTTGTAAAAGATTTACAGATTTTGTAAAAGATTTACAGATTTTGTAAAAGATTTACAGATTTTGTAAAAGATGTACAGATTTTGTAAAAGATGTACAGATTTTGTAAAAGATTTACAGATTTTGTAAAAGATGTGCAGATTTTGTAAAAGATGTGCAGATTTTGTAAAAGATGTACAGATGTTGTTAAAGATGTACAGATTTCGTCAGTAAATTCGTAAACGCTTAATGTAAATTGTGCCATTGTAATTTTGTTAGTTGCACCAATTCGCAAGTATTTTCCCTTGTAAATTGATGTAAATATGATCTTTTTATTGTATATTATTTATTAAAGGAAAAAAAAGTTGTTCCAATTCGAGTCATCCACTTTTGGAAACGTGCTCAGTTAGGCTAATTCGTTTACCTTTCCACATTAAATGGTCAGCTCCGTCTCTCTGTTTACAACTTCGGGACAAAAACAAAAAACTTTGTTGCTGGAACAAAAACATATTAAGAGGTCAAGCAACCTTCTTAATCCATCGAAAGCGATGCACAATGTCAATATTACGGCGCTGTAATTATTACTGGTAAGTCGCATTTGTTTTAACTGCTTGATTCCGTTAAGAGTGCGACGTGGGCCAGATTCACGAAGCAGGTTACGCAAGTACTTTACGAACGTGTACATCTTTCCTCAATCTTTGACGGCTTTGGTTACATTTATTAAAGAGTTTACAAGCATGAAAACTTGCCAATCAACTGTTGTTATTGTTATAAACAGCCTCCTGGTGCTTCGGAGCTCATTAACTGTTTAATAATTGTAAACAAAGCCGCCAAAGATTGAGAAAAGATGGGCAGGTTCGTAAGTGTTTGAGTAACTGTTTCGTGAATCTAGCCCCTGGGCAAGAAATATCTTTTGTCGTCGTCAGTACAATACATATATTAATTAATCACTGTCTCTCCCCCACAGTTCCGCAAGCATCCGAAGCAACCGGACCAGCAGGGCCCCGTCACTCGACTCCTTACCGACCGATCCGGTTCGAGCCTACAGCCGGGGCTCTACACCGGAACACTCTGAGGCTTCACACAAGTCCAGTGAGTACACCCGTGAAGTTTTTAATGTGGGGTCTTGGGAGGTTTGTTTCACTTGCAGCGTCTTGCAAATGTAATGTGTAACTACTTAATTGTGCTTATGGGGGTTGAGCTCTGGCTCTTTGGTCCCACCTCTCAACCGTCAACAAGAAGCAAGTATGTGAACGAGATGGGAGTAACCATCAGGGGGATACTATTGCAATGTCCAGTGTCGTGATACATATATACATCACGTATATAATGTGATACATATATACATCACGTATATAACGTGATGTACTGTTGTAGATACATACTGAAGGTGTGACATTATTGCTGTTAAAATATCCAGTATCCAGGAGTAATCTACTGTAGAAGAGACAATTACTAATTAAAGATAATTCTTCTGAAAACCGGATTTTCTGTAAAAACATAATAATTAATAAACATATTATATATAAAATATCCAGTGTATAGGAATAATCTGCTGTACAAAATAAAATTACTAATTAACTAAAATGTTCTGAGAAGCGGATTTCTGTGAAAACAGAAGAATTAAGCACAAGGACATTTTAAATAATTAAAAGATGAAAATATATTGAAATACAAAATGCCGCTCATTTTCATAGGAATTTTCTTGCCAGTCACACTGTCGATATTCAGCCCGAGCTCGTAAGATTTCCCAACGTCAAGAAACTATCGTACTAAAGTGCCCTTATCCTAACCTACCAAGAGGACCCAAAACAAAAAACGGGACAGTATGTCAATTTCGCGAGCCGCTTCCATTTTCTAGTACGACAATTTTTGCCCTTAGGTAGAGTCTACGTCAAAATGCGACGGTCTATTAGGAGGACGGGTTGTGGTTTGTGTTCAACGGACCTCTTGCTGTTTGCCTCTGATGGCTTATTCTCTTGTAAACAATTCATACCTTAATTTGATGGTAAGCACACTTATAAGTTTAATTACAAGCCTATACAGTTAATCTTATTGACAAAGCTTCTAATCTCTATGGCAGTAGCGTATTGACACCCGGGTTTGAAATTGAAATTGAAATAAGTTTATTGAGGTAAAATACACACAAAGGGATGAGGCAGCTCACGCTATTCTCACCCCGTTCAGTACATCGTGTTAATACATACATAGACACACATCACAAACAATAAACATATTACCAAACATTCTGAGAGCCGGGTTTGTTTCGTAAGCCTGACTCTTCTCTTCATTGTCGTAGCCTAATATGTTCCCCTGACCAATAGCAGCTCCCATCAACATGAAGGGCAGCTTAATATGGTTTTAAAATAATTAATTGGAGCTCTTGTGCTTACTAGTAAGTTTAATTTACTCGCTTTGTGGTGGGAAAATTAAAATGGGATTTCGCTAGTGCATCATTAGCCTCGGATCCATAATGTATTCTGTAAGTAATAAGTCCATTGGCATAACTCTTAACATGATGATTACCATAGGATGATATCCAGAAATCTTACTAGAGAGGTGTAAGATACATACTGTATTTTTACGCGTATATAGTGTAAACAGTGGCACGTATTAGAGAATAACACAATTATATGATTTGGTTGTTAGAACAGTGAAAGATGTTGGGTCGTAATTGTGAACGGAATCTGTGATTCATTTAAATTAAAATTTTGCCCCGAGGGCGAGTTTATTGGGCAGCGCCACTCATCTTGTGAGTGGACACACCGCCATTTGAAGACATCGACAGTGTGTGTGTGTGTGTGTGTGTGTGTGTGTGTGTGTGTGTGTGTGTGTGTGTTCGTGGTAGGGAGGAAGGGGATGTTAGGGCTAAGTGAAACGATTCGTCACTGTAACGAAGTGACTTTATCCCAAAAAACCCTGTAATGCATTATTGATTCTTATCTTAGTTTGACAGCCATTGCTATTTTGGTGATGCTGCTTATCTCATAGTTATTTTCCTGGGCGAATTTTTTTAAATTTTGCCCCGAGGGGCGAGTTTATTGGGCAGCGTCACTCATCTTGTGAGTGGACACACCGCCATAGCAGCATGTACAACACTCCCCAACAGGAAGAAAACCCGCTGGGTTGTTCATCCTGTCACTTGTACCCAGACACAGCTGGGACTTGCTTAACTGTCTCAAGTGAATTCTTACTTCATTGCTATTTTGGGGAGTAAGTCTGAATTTTTTCTTACGGCCACAAATACTTGAAATTCACACTAGGTATTTCATGGATCATTTTGTTGTACAAGAAGAACCACAATAAGGTTAGCAGACTTCTCTTGATGTCACCACTGCTAGGCTTAGGCTCGGCTACAAGTACCTCTGGCAGTTTGTACCACCTGCTGACGTAGACTAGACTAAATGTAAACTCTGTCAGCAGAACTATTCACACACTTTAGTCATAATAGAACTGAATGCGAAAAATCAGCCGCGGAATTCGGAGATAACTTTATCAACGGTTTCAAGTAATGTGTAAGTACTTCATTCATAATGACAAGTACTACCAAGAATCCAAAGATTGCTGACTGTAGGTGCTTCATGCACATGACTGTAAGGTTCCGCTTAGTTGGCAGGTGTGGAGAAAACCTTCATTCATGAACAATGGAGAGTTCACTTCCAGAACCCATTATGTGCCTCTTTTAAATTTTAAAAATTTTGCCCCGAGGGGCGAGTTTATTGGGCAGCGCCACTCATCCTGTGAGTGGACACACCGCCATAGTGACAGTATTGGGCAGCGCCACTCATCTTGTGAGTGGACACACCGCCATAGTGACAGTATTGGGCAGCGTCACTCATCCTGTGAGTGGACACACCGCCATAGTGACAGTATTGGGCAGCGTCACTCATCCTGTGAGTGGACACACCGCCATAGTGACAGTATTGGGCAGCGCCACTCATCCTGTGAGTGGACACACCGCCATAGTGACAGTATTGGGCAGCGCCACTCATCCTGTGAGTGGACACACCGCCATAGTGACAGTATTGGGCAGCGCCACTCATCCTGTGAGTGGACACACCGCCATAGTGACAGTATTGGGCAGCGACACTCATCCTGTGAGTGGACACACCGCCATAGTGACAGTATTGGGCAGCGCCACTCATCCTGTGAGTGGACACACCGCCATAGTGACAGTATTGGGCAGCGACACTCATCCTGTGAGTGGACACACCGCCATAGTGACAGTATTGGGCAGCGCCACTCATCCTGTGAGTGGACATACCGCCATAGTGACAGTATTGGGCAGCGCCACTCATCCTGTGAGTGGACACACCACCATAGTGACAGTATTGGGCAGCGCCACTCATCCTGTGAGTGGACATACCGCCATAGTGACAGTATTGGGCAGCGCCACTCATCCTGTGAGTGGACACACCGCCATAGTGACAGTATCGGTCAGCGCCACTCATCCTGTGAGTGGACATACCGCCATAGTGACAGTATTGGGCAGCGCCACTCATCCTGTGAGTGGACACACCGCCATAGTGACAGTATTGGGCAGCGCCACTCATCCTGTGAGTGGACATACCGCCATAGTGACAGTATTGGGCAGCGTCACTCATCCTGTGAGTGGACACACCACCATAGTGACAGTATTGGGCAGCGTCACTCATCCTGTGAGTGGACACACCACCATAGTGACAGTATTGGGCAGCGCCACTCATCCTGTGAGTGGACATACCGCCATAGTGACAGTATTGGGCAGCGTCACTCATCCTGTGAGTGGACATACCGCCATAGTGACAGTATTGGGCAGCGTCACTCATCCTGTGAGTGGACATACCGCCATAGCAGCATGTACAACACTCCCCAATAGGAAGAAAACCCGCTGGGTTGTTCATCCTGTGTATCCCTGTCCACTACCGCTCACGGGATGAGTATAGGCTGAAATAATAAATGACTCAACTCAACTCACTCTCAAAAGTGTTTAGGTTCGATTTGCAGTGAAATATCAGGTGAAATATCAGCAAAACAAAATCCAATACAAAAAAAACTCTTACCCCTCAAGTTTCTCATTATCGCTATCAAAACACTTGGCCGCTCTTCAACAGTGTCCATTTGTATACAGCATCAGTCAACAGGTTGTGGGGGAAAATGGGTAGACGAGGTTGGACGATCCACATCAATATCTGACGAAAAAGAAAAGTTGTGAGAGCTGATTGTCATCGATATAGAAAGTAAAAACGTGTAACTTATTCCAATCAGTCCAAATCCAGACTTTCAAGTCCAATCGAGACATTGGACTTGAAAGAATGGGTTACATCACAGCTTGGTGGTAGTATATGGACGCATTTTAATTTATTTTATTAATTGATTTATATACAAGAAGGTACATTGGGATTGTGAGAATACATAGCATAGTATTTACAATCTTGTAAAGCCACTAGTACGCGCAGCGTTTCGGGCAGGTCCTTCATCTAACAGATAATGTTAAGTAGGTAAATTCTAGCAGAATTAATAAAATATAAGAAATATTAATGTGTCATTGTGTGTTCTAATAAGTTTAAGATTAAGGTAAGATTAAAGTACAATATTTTCTTGGATTTTACAGCGTTTATCAGGCTTTATTGGCATGATAAATGTTTTTTTTAGTTAATGTTTGAGCTTCAGGTTTCGTAATTATGTTTATTTAGTTGTGGGTAATAAATAATATTATTGCAACTGTTGGTTGTTGTAATTGTGTGGAGTCAAAGTGTTCACAGTCGTTTTGAACATAGACCGTTTTCTAATTAGTGAAAGTGTATATATTATAGAGTTAGGCTGCGGATAGTTACTGCTAGTTAGGTTGGGTTGGTATAGGTTAGGCTAGAATCTAGCCTAACCTATAGCTTACAAACATACAATCTAGCCGCTAGATTGTATATTTGTGAGCGAACCGTCTTTTAAACGTAGTGATCTGTATATACTGTGATGATGTATTACGAGAGAGAGAGAGAGAGAGAGAGAGAGAGAGAGAGAGAGAGAGAGAGAGAGAGAGAGAGAGAGAGAGAGAGAGAGAGAGAGAGAGAGAGAGAGAGGGGGGAGGGGGGCAGAAAAAGAGCTAATGTTTA